TTGACTTCATGCTACTTCCTAATAGGGCCTAGTGTGGACGCAAATCACCACTCTGATTCTCTTGTGATTCATTTGATTCAGTTCTTCTGTCATCTCTTTTTATGGTCACTGGAAAATGTTAAAAATAATTTGTACATTGTATCTCCCAATGATGTGGTCTTAACCAAAATCCTGGGATTCTAGTCAGATCTACTAACTTACACACTTGAAGAAGATAGACATGTTGGCTTTTATTTTGAGGTGATTTTACAAATAAAGACCACACAGTGCAGGGGTTGTTAAAGCAGAGAAGGCAAAAAACAGCCTTGGGATAAATTCATTATTTTCCTTCAGGTATTCTAAACAATCACTTCTTCCTCTACTTTTTTTGAGTTTTATGTAGTTCATACTTTAAAGGCAGAACAACATACCCAGAAAACCCCAGTCACATAGCGGTTATAATGTGTTAGTAGTTGAAGAGAAACTTAGCTCTTCCTGTATAGAGTTAGCAGTTTATATTATTTTTCTTATGCCAATGTTTAGCCAGTAAAAACATCCACTACTCTGATAATCTCCTTGCGATGGGAGCCATTTCTTAAGTGCCTCCAACCATGAGCTGGTCTGTCAGTGAGGGATTATTGCCAAACCTGGTCTGCTAAGAGGATCATTTCAAATTGCCAGTGGATTCTAATGTAGAACAGCTCTATCTTGTCTCCATTTTCAGGTGTATTAACCCGAGATACCACATCTGCCCAGAACAGGGAAAAGCACTCTGTTCTGAGATTCCCTTTAAAGGAAGGCTTCAGAGTGAGCGGCCAGAGAGCGTGTGAAATTCATTGCCCACCTGCCTGGGATTGTCACCCATATTTTCTTTATGTTGTCGTTCTCTTTCTCTGGGCTGGCAGCAGACAGTCATTTTCCCTCAGGTAAAGCCTTCATGGCACTTGTCATTTATAAAACCAGCATCCCAGTGGTAAACTGTCCTCAAGAGTAAACAGGAAGGAGATTCTGAAATCAGAAGCCTTTCTTCCATGGATCAGGCTGGCTTAAGTGAAGGCCAGGTTGGTCATAGGGAGCCCCTCCCTCTGGAGGTCTCGCATCCTGGAGAGGCCTGTTCGCGCATTGCTGCACAGAACAAACTGTGGTTATTTGTACGATCAGTGAACCCGCTGAAAATGGTCACTTCACTCAGTGGCTTGGAGCAGAAATAACTTTTCTCTTGAGCAGGTTTTTATGCCCATGTGATGTGCCACGAATCCATGGCTGGAGAAAGCCCCCCAGGAGCTTGTTCCTTGAGTCCCCAGAGGCTTCCGGCCACTGGCCATGTGGTGGCAGCCTGGACGAGGGCCAGTTTTTCCCTTTTCTGGTGGTTTTTAGATAATGGTTGACACCCTGAGAGAAGGAGTGGTCAGTACAAATGAGACTTAAAAAAAAAAAAATGCTGACTCTCTTGGCTATGTGGCTGTAATCATCTACTGTGATTTAGTGGGAACAAAAGAACTCAAGTATGACCTTTGGGTAACAGGACACATTGTTGGAAGGGAGGATGGTTTTCATGTACTTCTGTTCTAGATTGTCAGCTGCCAGTAGCCTACTTTTCCCTTCGTTGTCACATAGCATACTGTGAAAATAGCTCGTGTAAGACTTACAGTGAAAACACAGCTTTTGAAGAGTGCATAGCTTTCGAGACTGCCTTGCATGTGATTTTCTAAAATTACCTGATCTAAATATTGCTTCTCAATTGTTCAGAAATACAATTTAAAGGAAATTTATGAATTTAAAATGTTAAACATTCTTTGTCAGTATTTCAGGAGTTGGCTATGTGGTTAAGTATGTCTAACTTCTTGTTAAGTAATGTTGACTGTGGAGAAGTGTGAAAATAGGGGAAGGTGCAAAGAAGAATAAACACCTGTAATCCCACATTAACAACAACACCGGGCACACATCAGGTACTCACATACTCAGTCAATGAATGTCAAGACAAATACTATTAATATCATTTGGGTATATAGATGTTTAAGGGCTTTTTTCCATGCATTTTTTAAAAAGAAAATAGGGCTCAAAAAATGCAAACTTAACGTAGTTTCTCTTTAAATTAAAAAAGTTGATTATTTTTTACTTCTCTTTTATGATAACTAATTTCACTTTGCCTGTGGCAAGTGGGCAGCCTCTCTAGACATACCTGCTAAATGACGCTATCTAGTTTCATTTGGTAACACTTGCTGTGGGTTCTTGTTAAATGTGTGACCCTGATTTCATACCCTAACAAATCTCTGGAGGAGGGTCTCTTATCCCTGCTGCCTCCACAGTGTTCAGGACTTCTTACCTCAGCCCTGACTGGTCACGTTCGTCCCCTCGTCCTTGTCACAGTCTGACTTCTACCAAACTCACCTACTCACTCCCCCCCTTCATTTCCCTACTGGAACTGCCTGCTGCAGTCAGATGATCTCTCCCTGTTGTTCCGTGAGTCCACCCCACTGTAAGGTCTACCTTCCTCCTTTTCATGCCATTCCAGCATTTCAGGCTGGCATAGCTCCCCTTGTATAACTCACTGAATAATTTGCCATGAGGTGCTCCTCCAAATCTTGCATTTTTTGTTAACCTGTTTGCATTAGTAAGGTGCATGATCTTGAGGCTGTGTTTTGGGGCATCACACCATAGTGGAACTTAAACAGTTTCAAGTGAATAGTTGGTTTTTTTGGTAAAGACCTATGGTAGACTTTTTTTTTTTTATGGTAGACTTTTAAAACTTTAAGTTGGTAGTTATAAAACTAAACTCCTTCTCTCTGGACCCCACCCCCGACCCTCCAAAAAAGAGAGGAAGTGAGAAATTGATGTACCCTTGCCCTGACATTTTCTTCTGTGTGGCAGTTGAAAGTGCCAAGAACTTCTTACAGTTCAGTTAGTTCTCACATGGTGTTTTCCTGCTTGGATATCGTGGCCAACTTGGTTCCATCACTTCTGTGAGTTTTGATTATATTTTCTCCTCCTGTCATCAAACTATGCCTTGAACATTACGTAGTTTGTAATTAAAATAAACCTGCAGTGAAGGATCCACATTAAACACTTGATACAGTTAACCTGAGCTGCTCTGATAGGCCACCATTCTTAACCACCTTGACTTAGACTTAACCAAATATAATTTTAGGCCTTTTAAGTATTTAATTCTCTTAACCAGTCAAGCAGTGGGGCTTTTATTGGCATTCTTCTCACCTGCATATGAGGAAGCCACGTAAATAGTTACAATTTTTGAAAATGGCATGGCCCTTGCTTTGAACTTACTAACTACTTAACTCTGGAATAATAAAGATATTGTGCTCCAGACTGAATGGGCTGAGAACATACGGGTAGCACAGCACAGCGGCTGGCCTCTGCCCCCAGTAAGATCAGTTTGAATCCTGGGCCTTCACCTCAGTGGCACTGAGAATATCTTAACCGACCTTGAGCCTCAGGTTCTGCTGCTGTGAACTGAGCAGGTGAGGTTATGGGGAAGGTCAGCTGAGTTCCCTTTCCACTTCGCTTTTTAGGGTTCTGTAAAGAGCTCTGATGACTAGAAGTCAGGCCAGGCTTCCTGGGGATGAAGACTTGGGCTACTCCCTGAAGGCAGATTAAGATGCAAGTAGGTGGAGTGAAGAAAAGGCACTCCAGTTGCGGGAAGCAGCTGAGCAAAGGATATGGACAAGTCCATAAAGCCTCGAAAACGTGTGCAGGGAGGGTACTGGGAGAAGGCAATGCATAAGACACCTGTCAGAGGGTAGGAGAGAGCCTGGTATCTGAGTGATGAGGAAGAATCTTACCATCTGTGAAATGATGAGAATCTGAGGGAAGATAGGTGTACAGGAGGTGGTGGGGAAGGAGCAGCTACAAGGGGCATTTCCAAGGAGCAGTCATCAGAACTTGGCGTGTGAGGCTATGGGTGAAAGATATTGAATGGGTTTATAGCGGGCAATTAGTGTGCCATTCATTCATTCTTAAAATACTGAAATTGGAAATCTGCTGCAAGTTCTGTTCTAGCTATTGAGGATTAATATTGGTGATTAATCAATCACCAAATAAAACAGAAGTCCCTGCTCTTCTGAAGCTTCCTTTTCTACTGTTGTGTCGAAAATTTAGTGGCAGAACTTTTGGCATCTTGAGGTGTCATTATCTAACTCCTGAATGTTTTATCATATCTCAGAATCAAGCAGGAAATGTTGATGAAAAAATACCCAGTATCTTCCTGAGTCAGTATGTAGTATTTTCATGTTTCAAGACTGTTAAGATACAAATGAAACAGTCTAACTGAAAATACTGTGTTTTACTGATCAAAGGAATTGGTGCTACTGTAGATTTAGGAATTTTGCCTTCTAGTTAATAAATTTCAGGGACTGTCACGAAGTTTGGAACACCTAGGAGGTGGTGGTTGAGTTGTGAAAGGTTCCTTTTGTAGGCTTTGGTTGGGATTAAAGTTAGGTTCCCTTAACAACCAGGCTTTTTCTCCAAGTGATTTTGTTTGCTTATTTCTGAATGAGTGCTATGATATTTTAGTTTTTAGTCTGAGTTTTCTTCTCTTCTTTCAGGTGAAAAAATTTAAGTTAGAATATTCCTTGACAAAAAGTGTTGCCATAAGAAATAAATAAGTTGAAAAGCTAAAATACAAGTTCCCATGGCATTTTGAGAGCTTGAATTAAAAGAGCATTATTTCATTAAAATTGTGATGCATTTAGGTATTTTAGTTAGAAAAGCTTCGGTCTCTTTCATTTAATGTTACCCTAGTTGTGGTTCATAGTATTTGTATGGTAACAATCAGCTATAAAAATAGGGGATAAGGATTATTCATAATTCTTAAGGAAAGAAAGAGGTTTGGGCCTTATAGTACTAGTAGGATTTCACACAAAAAATATTTAAAATGTTCTGTAAAAGAATGGTTAAGACTGAACTGCTGTAAATACACTACCTTTCAGTATTTGAATTTCTCAGTTTAAAAAAATCAGGTTTTTTTTTTAAAGGATGATTTATTATTATTTTTTAATTTCCTTCAGGTAAAACTGCAGTTTTAAAGTGTCTACTGGATATTCACAAAATTTTTCGGGAAAATGACCCAGCTTACATCCTAAATGACCTCTACATCTCAGACTACTGTGTGTGGATTCAGAAAGCCAAGTAAGTTTTGAGTTACTTACGAATTTTATACGCTCCCATTTCTGGAACACATACTTGTCCAGGCGGAAGGAAGCGAAATAACCTGGGGGATAAGTTGTAATAAAAGAGACCCCTCCTGCCATAGCTACCAAACACTTGAAGTCGCTGGAGCACCTGGGGAGCTTGGTGAATTTGCTTATGGAGGAGGTGCAGGTGACGGAAAGTTAATTTTAGTAGAAAAAATTGATACAGCCCAGAAAAATGGTTGTTTAAATAGACAGTTATGAGTATTCATTGCTATGCTATTGACTGTCCAACATCAGCATGAATCCTCAAGACTGGGTACCAAACGTGTGTCTCTAGTTACCTTACTGTGGGGTGTGAGTGTGTGTGCACATGCACGCAGGCCCATGGGTAAACATCATAGGACAGAAATCTAATCACAACGAGATCAGTGATCATGTTCTAATCACACAAGAGTTACGCGTTCATTGGCTAAACCTCTGGCGTACAGAACCCATTATTCAGGCTATAAAATACAACCTTCAGAACCTAATAACATGATTCTTGGGAACATAGGTACCTCAGAGCCTGATAACTCACAAATAGGCTTCTTGTATTTGACCTGTAAAATTTTTTAATAATTGTTTAGCACTGCCTCACTCAAGGAACCATAGTAAGTTTAAAAATGCAGTGACTCTGGCTATCAAGCATCTCACAGAATTGTATTATGTTCACATATAAATACCATGTAGCCATCAATGTTGAAAATGTGTATTTCTGACATAGACTGAGAAATCAAAAAATATACCAGACTAAGAAAATGAGTCTTAAAACATTGTAAATTTGAGGATCTAGAAATGTATAATTAATGTGCGAAATGTATCAGTGTGTATCTCTAGGTTTGGGGATTATGGATGATTTAGTCTGTTTTAGTTCATTGTACTTTGTGATTTTTTTTTTGCTGTAAGTGCTCTATTACTTGTGTAATAAAAATAAGAAAATCAAGTTATTTTAAGAAAACAAAAGCATCAAACAACTAAATTAAACTAAAATCGCTCAAAAATTTTACAAAAAAAAAATGCAGTGACTCTTTTTTTGAGGTTATTTTGCAAGGGGGTTCTTCTGTAGACCTGGTTCTTATGAGACATGCCCAAATTATCTACTTCAGTAGTAAAAGACTATTAATTGAGAACATACAAAGAAAGCTCTTGATTGGAATGATTCTTAGGTGCTGTAGAAAATGATGGCAAAATATCATTCGTGACTTGAAAGCAAAATAATCATGATATTTTTACCATTCCTGTGACTGGTAAATGAATGCTTTAGTATGACTCTCATGCCTGTTGTGAGGGAGCCATGATATAGAATTTATTCCTGATTTCTGTTCATGGAGAAGCACTTATATTGCAGAGTGAAATAAAAAAAAAGACACAGAAACTCACTGTACCTGTTATATGGAAAATGCTTAGAGAGACTGCAGGAGATAATGCCTGATCGCAGACAGCAGGTGGTGCCAGCATTT